GCACTGTGTGCGTGCGTAGTTGAGTGTGCAGTGAGTATAGGTGAATGTGTGGTGTGCATTAAAATAATAAATTCGACGGGGTTCGCGTACCGGGCAGGTCTAGAACAAGGAGTCGTACAACTCCCTGGTCAAGAACCACTTTTCGGCTTCCGTGGGACGCCAACACCCCATGATCAGGCGTCAGATGCGGCTCCTAAACGGTGGGGGAGGATAGATCAGATCCACCAACCAGGGGCCAAAGGCCTCGATCCCATTTGCCACATCCATGTATTACTCATGCCAGGCCACGAGTTCCCGATTAACTGTGGGTCGCAGCACGGTTGGAAAAATCCTTCCAAGCAGGCCTTTAACCTGATACCTCTCGTTTATCAATCATGGTCTTAGACCAACCCACTGTGTCTGACTGTTGTGGTGTGCATGCGTATGAGTAAAGGTGACTGTCCTGGGTGCAAAGGTGAGGGTTCTGTGGAGGGTACAGTATGGTATTAGATTAGGCCTTGCGAAGGAAAAATTTGTTTTGTTCAAAAATGTTGAAGTTGGAAGAAAAAATAGTTAAAAAGAAAGAACAATTATTGAAATAATCTACGTGGAGATAATAATTTTAATAATTATAGCTATGAATAGGATGAAGGCCGCAGACATCATCAATTCTGGGTTTTCAATAATATTTTTGTTATAAAATACACAGTAATACATGTCAAACAAGTAACGTAGTTGCGTGATGTCTGCGGCCTTCATCCTATTCATAGCTATATTAAAATTTCATGCGTCTCCTGAAATAATTTAGACTCTAAAGGGTTAACAATTATTGAGGATAGCAATAGCTACTGTTTTTATGAGTATCAAGAAGACATCCGGGAGCAATCACAGAATACAAGACTGACGTTAGGAGAAGTCTAGTACAGAGAGGGTCAGAACCGGGTCTAAGACCCATATGGTTCAGATGGTCGCAACTGACAGGGGCTTTACAAACCGTGGATGGTTGTAGAAAGGTCACTGTTTCTGAACACGGTGTCTTCTACCTTGCTACATACTGGCAACCGACAACATGTTAGGGATACAGTATGTGTAACTGTTCACCTATGTACTCGCCTGTCACTGCACACCTGTGTACGCGCCTGTCACTGCACACCTATGTACTCGCCTGTCACTGCACAGCTTGTAAAACACCTTGTGCACGCCTATCAGTTGCACACCTTGTGCAACTTCTAGCACTTACTGTTCATGGATAGCCTTGGCACCTGTTATTCTACTTACTGTATAAAACTGCTTCTTTACTAATAAAGAGACGATTATTCCTCAGCTGACTAAGTGAGACGTTTACATTGGTAACAGAGGATGGTTCTCGATGGTTATCTTCAGTTTGCACTGGTTCCTTCTGACGCCTGCTGTCTTATCGTTCCTGGTACTTAGTTTACTGGTTTTCGCCGCTATTCGGGAGCTGCTGCGGGTTGCTAGGCTATTAGCCAACGGTCGGACGCTAACAACAGTACCTGTGTCTCCTTGGTTGATCGGCCTACATCGAGACGTCGGCCTTGTACGAAGGAGCCTCAAGAGTTCGGTGGCGAGGCAAACCTGATCAAGGAGTGGTCTTTCGCTATACATTGCACGGAACTGCCCAGGACAAGGTCACCCAAACGCTGGGCGTCAGTAATTTTGGTGCGTTTGCTGGCGCGACATAGGGTACCTTCAGAACCGACTCCGATCACCGTTAACAACAGGTTTGCTGGCCTGGTCGTGGAAGAACCTGCGTACTGCGACATTGATGACGATGAACTGGACTCCAACCCGCTCCAACCTAGAACTACTGAAAATGTCCACCTCAGTAATGTCGTCGTCGACAAAGAGCACGACCTGTTGCGGGTTTTTGGGAAGACGGTCGCCGCGCAACTATGCTGATCGATTCTGGGTCCACCCACGATCTGATATCCGACGCTTTCGTGCGTCAGCACAAACTCCCAACAAAATCCAGCTCCATAGTCCTAATGCTTCCCTGGCTAATGGTACGTCATGTCAGATGTCAGGTGTGACGGAAGCACTCGATATTGTTGTTGTAGACTTCAGTGACCACCAGGCCTTCAGAGTGTTTCCACTTGCCAAGTACATGTATGACGTAATACTCGGAAAGCCCTGGCTCACCAGGTATAACCCCGTTGTCAACTTCCGTACCAATCATGTAACATTCGATGGAAAACCAAGCTCAACCGGCTAGGCGCTTGATTGCTCTAAACCGGATTCTATTGAAACCATGTTCATTTCTGGAACTAGGGCCTGCCATGAGCTGAGACGTGGGGCGAAGGATGTCATAGCATGGGTGTCTGTAGTTGACGTTATTGTTCCAGAGTCTCGCAATAGGGTCCCTCCGGATAAGGAAGAACATATTGAGGAAGTTATTCGGCAGTTTGCAGATGTTTTCCAAACGATTTACCGAACCAGTTATCCAGTCACCCAGTTGCCCAGAGTCACCCAGTTTCCCAGAGTCGCCCAGTCGCCCAGTTGCCCAGAGTCTCCCAGTCGCCCAGTTGCCCAGAGTCTCCCAGTCGCCCAGAGTCGCCCAGTCGCCCAGTAACCCAGTAACCCAGTTACCAAGTTACCCAGTTGCCCAGTTGCCCAGTTGTCCAGTTGCCCAGTTGCCCAGTTGCCCAGTTGCCCAGTTGCCCAGTTGCCCAGTTGCCCAGTTACCCAGTTGCCCAGTTACCCAGTTGCCCAGTTGCTCAGTTACCCAGTTGCCCAGAGTCACCCAGTTGCCCACCCAGTTGCCCAGTTACCCAGTCACCCAGTCACCCAGTTACCCAGTCACCCAGTTACCCAGTTGCCCAGAGTCACCCAGTAACCCAGTTGCCCATCCACCCAGTTACCCAGAGTCACCTAGTCACCCAGTTACCCAGTTACCCAGTTGCCCAGTTGCCCAGAGTCACCAAGTCACGGAGTCACCAAGTCACGGAGTCACCAAGTTACGGAGTCACCAAGTCACGGAGTCACCAAGTCACCCAGAGTCGCGCAGTCACCAAGTCATGAAGTCACCCAGTCACCCAGTCACCCAGAGTCATCGAATCACCAAGTCACAGAGTCAACCAGTCACCCAGAGTCACCCAGCCGCTTTAGCCGCCTACAACCGATTTGGACGGCAACACAGGGTACATTGTGGAGGAAATCTTGGATCAGCGAGCATGCAAAGAAACACCCGAGTTTTGGTTAAGTGGAAGAGTTATGATGAGACCAACTGGGAGCCAGAGAATTTTCTCAAGGACGAGTCCGGAAGAAACATTGCTCCACTTGTGTTCTTTAAAAGTATTTCATGCTATTGTGTTTTGCACAATGGAGAGGAGGGAGATGGTGTAACCGTTATACCTTCTCCTGCCCTCCTATCACTGCACACCTTTGTACGTGCCTATCACTGCACACCTATGTACTCGACCGTCACTGCACACCTATGTACGCGCCTATCACTGCAAACCTATGTACGCGCCTGTCACTGCACACCTATGTACGCGCCTGTCACTGCACACCTATGTACTCGCCTATCACTGCACAGCTTGTGCGCGCCTATCAGTTGCACACCTTGTGCAACTTCTAGCACTTACTGTTCATGGCTAACCTTGACACCTGTTATTCTACTTACTGTATAACACTGCTTCTTTACTAAGTGAGACGTTTACAGTATGTATAATTATGTGTGCACGCGTGTGTAGAGTGGATGTGTTCGCCTGTACATTGCGTCTATGACAGAGCATGATTTCAAAGTGTATGTCAGCGTGAATGTGAGCAGACATCATGTGCATGTATGGATGAGTGTGGGTGTATGGTGTTTGAGTCTCCCAGTGGCCAGCGTGAAGGTGTTATAGGTGTGAGGTATGAGTTTGTGTACTTGTATATATATTGTGTGTGTGTTTGTGTGTGTGTGTGTGTTTGTGTGTGTGTGTGTGTGTGTGTGTGTGTGTGTGTGTGTGTGTGTGTGTGTGTGTGTGTGTGTGTGTGGGGGTGAGTATGAGTGTCCCATAATTATGGTGCAGTGGCATGTGCAGCGATTTCCAATCGATAGGTTGCGGGTTCGATTCCCGACGATTATGGTCACACATGTCTTTCTTCTCTTTCTCAGACTCTTACTGACCTTTCTTTCATTCTCCTGGGTGGTTACCAACAGCCAGTGCATGCCGGAGTATGTGGTGTGATGTGCGTGCGGGAAAAAAAAAGGACCGAAAGTTAGGGATTCACTGGCCAGAAAAAATCACTTCATAGCTTTGTGGTGTAGAATAGGCTTAATAGTGGTGGTCAATTCTTCAGCCTGGGAACCTGTTGAATGGTGCATTCCCAGCACAAGTTGCTATGGCTTCTGTTGTAGCATTGTTATCATCGCCTCCGGCGATAGGCGTCCAATGGTCCAATGGTGTGTGCGTGAGAGAGAGAGAGAGTATGAGTGTGAGCATATGTGTGTGAGAGTGTGCACTTGGGTGCGTGTCTGGGTGATTTTGGACGAAGGGTGGTGTGTTGGAGTGAATGTCTATGTTTGTATGTTATTTTTTATTGTACGCGCGCACGGGTGCATGTGTGTAGGTGTGCGTGTGAGAGTATGTAAAGGCGTGGTTCCACTGCATTTGTCGAGGAAAGATTCTTCACGTACTGCCCTGTGCAAATACCAAGACCCTCTTCCACGTTTCATACCAGAATATGTTTTCCTGGGAATGGGGCAAGCGTGAATGTCTGATTTGCAATTTCTCTTCAACCTTACTTGTAATAGTATCTTCGACAAATCATTGATCGAGGTTTCTGCCCTCCAAAGTCTTTTGTCTCAGAGAGTAGTTTTCAGGCGTGAGGGCTTGCATGCTCACCCCTTCGGTATGCACCACTGGCTGGCTGGGGCTACTTCTGCAAACATTCCGTAATGCTACAGGAAGCGGTTTTTCCCGTCAATGCACGCCTGGTTGTGTATTCGGTCTTCTCAGGTCCATAATCGACTGTACTGTCCATTTATTACTGCTTCCATGTGTCCTTTTCCACAGCTCAACAAGTTCATACAGCACCATCCCCTACATCACTGACATTTACCAACACGGGTGCTACTCACAACATACCATGTATGTCAAGTGGAAACTTTCCTCTCAAAGCATCTTGGAGCTCAACATTATCTCCGGACTCGCAGATGATACAGACAACTATGCCTGCCACTATGGTGAACTCGACGTTCAGCTTCCAACAGAATAATTCCCAGATAGTGTTTACAGAAAGTGATACATCAGGTGTTACCTTCAATGTAACCTGTACTACATCGTATACTACAAACTTTGATTGTATTGGAATGGGATCAAGTCCTCCACGGCCACAAAGTGTCATTGACAGATGTGTGAATGCCACCCAGGCAATATCTACCACTGTCTCTGTCACAATCCAAGGTTGGTATTTGTTCACAGTTACTAGGTTTGAGTGACAAATAATTATGATGTGAACACTGACAATTTCAGATGTATAACCTGTAACTGCTACTATGGACAGCAGTTTTGCCAGCCCAGTCGTGCACTGAACGACACGTTGTCCTCATTAGGGGTGTGCGGATAATGCTTGAAAAGGTTGCAGATTCTGCTCGAAAAGCAGAGAAGTTGGCAGAATCATACAAACCTTATGGCGAGCAATTCCTCGAATTCTGCTCCATTTCTTTATCCGCATACCACACATGCAGAAACTTACCAGAACATGTACCGAATTCTGACAATTTTTCTGCCGGCATTATCCGCATATGCCTAGTCGTCATGACGGTTGGGGTACCTACAACGGAGAGGCTAAGATACTCGATATTTCTGACTTGATGTTAAAGTTCAGCTCGCGTTATTTGGCTCGTGCGTCGAAAACCAACGCGAGTGACCTGAAGCTCACGTCGAGGTTTTACGCCAAATTTGACGTGAAACTGCGAGTCACGTCGGAAATAACGTGCATTTTAACCCCTCTAATGTAGGTAACAAATTATCTAGTGCTGGAAGAATACCAGTAACGCGGGCAGTATGCTTAGCACCAAATATCTATCTAAGGGTTTTGGTAAATTCCACATGTAAACAGCACAGTCGCTGCTAACAGTAGAGAATCATTCCACAAACCATCCACCTGGACACTGGACTTTAACCTCTTTTTACCATTTCGGTGTCGACCGCTCGAAACCAATACTTTCATTGTCATCCAGGTTTTGTTTAAAGGATTTCAACTCGATCAATTCTCAGCATAATCGAAATACCGACTTACATGTAGATGGTAGCAGAGACGCTCAGAATTCAGCTCAAGCAACTCCGAGGCTTCCACAATGCAGTTTAAAGCATGTTTTTCTCACGTTCGAAGTTGAAAAGACGCGAAGCGTGAACTCTCCATTGCCTAGATGAGAAAAGACTATACTCATCATAAACCCGGAAATGGTCAACCCTTTGCGGGTTTATGAAGAGAATACTCGTCACTCAGACCCCATCAAATCTGAGTCTGGGCAATAGAGAGTATACGGCTAAAAACATAATGAACACGTTACGCTCTTTCACCAGATGAATATCCTTGACCTGAATTTCTCCACTTCACGGACAAACAATGAGTGTCGGTGTCGTGTGGAGCGAATTTCTGCATCATTAATTTGATTTCCTTGGAGTGAATGTCAATAAGATACGGTTGTGGAATCGATTCCTCGCTTCCCAAGATTGTCTTGAAGCTGCTTTCCTGGTGTAAGGTGTTGGACAACTATGTATTTCCTTCACGAGCATGAGCTCATAGTTGGGTGTTCTGACGTTTTTGAAAGTTGTTCCGATCCCTTCGATTTTGTCTCATTGGAAGGAGTAGGATAAACTAGCCAGGAAATATATCAGGTTTGCCTAAATCCGACCAGACGTTCAAATGTTATGGTCTTTTGAAGTGCTCTTGTTGGCACTTTTGCTGGAACAATTTTGATGCAGGCCCGGGGCACAAAACCGGGAAATTCAAAACCAACTAGAAAAAGGTGAAAATCATTTTCGTTCAGGGTCTTTCAAATTTTCACAGATGATAGCCAATAAGGAGCTTCCATCACTTGACCAATACTTTTGGTATTCCATCAAGCCAAATTTAAATTACGCCCATAGCAACCACCATAGCAACGCATACAAATTAGTCGGAATGGATGCGAAAGATGTAACCTTTCACAGGCTGAAGCTGACTGGAGTACGGTTACTACGAAAATACATCACCAGGAGGAGATTACAGTTATCTACCCCATGTAGATGAAGCATCTATGAAAATATCCTATGCGCTCGCCCCAGACGGCACCCGCACCTGGGCATGTTGCGCCGCAGGACAGGATGCATGCAGCCAATTAACAGTTATGCTGCACCATTGCAGCAAGATGTAAGCTTCAGCTAGGCCAAGCCAGAAGCAGTCCTGCTGATTATCAGCTTTAGAAGGACAACCTGTTTCCAGTCATATACAGCGTGTGCAGCACTACCGGGCAATTGGCGTCGCAAGTTACATGTAATTCATTCGTAAGATTCGCCCAATCAACAGACAGTTCGGGGGAGATATACAAGATGCAGCGGGCACCCTTCAACTGTGTGCCGGTCAGGAGTGCGGCATTGAAGCTGCCATCCATGCGATGCAAGATGTCTACCGTGAGGAGAATGCGGATGCCATATATCTCGCCGATGCTTCGAACGCTTTCAACCGGCTTAACCGTGAAGCCTGCCTACGGAACATCCGTCACCTCTGTCCCTCTATAGCGCCAGCTGTAATCAATACCTACCGCCAAACATCCCGCCTATTGGTTGATGGAGAGTGCTTGCAATTGTGCGAGGGTACCACCCAGGGTGACCCTCTGGCCAAGCCCATATACGCGCTTGGAGTCCTCCCGCTAATCAAGAAAGTTGCAGTACCTGATTCGAAACAGGGCTGGTATGCGGACGATGCTGCAGCCGGTTGGAAGATAACGCATGTCCGCCAATGGTGGGACAATCTTGTCACCCGCTCCCAGGGCAACGACAAGAATCCCCGCGGCAACAGCAAGGATGACAGCAACACACAACAGGGTCACCCCACCAGCAACTTGGCCTCTGAGGGATCCCTGGCAACAACAACCACCTCTGACGGACCAAACTGGGAGCCTCCTGGCGGTAGCGGTACTGGTGAAGCCATGGACTCTGGCACTGACATAGTTCCTGATGATTCGGAGACAGGCAACGGCAGTTCAGGCGAACAACCCCAACTGCCAATGCAGCCGCCACCACTGAGATGACTGCCGCCTAAGAAATCTCACTAAAATGGCCAAACCCCTTCGTATTCTCCTCACCAATGCCTTCATTATGTCCAACAAAATTGGCGAGCTGCATTACGCAGTCCGTAAACACAACATTGATGTCGCAGTAGTGACGGAAACGAAGTATGGACAGAGCGCTCTGGACTCTGATACACTTGTACCTGGATACACAGTAGTTCGCAAAGACCGAAATGAGGCAGGAGGGGGTGTAGCTATTTGGGCTAAATCAGAGCTCTCGGTTACTCTGGCTTAGAGACTACTTAACAGGTCGTTCGCTGGAAGTGGTCATCGGCGGCAAGAGCTCCGATCGCTATCCGATCTCTGCAGGAGTGCCACAAGGCAGCATTCTTGGACCGTCCCTGTTCCTAGTGTATGTAAATGATGCTGATAGCTGCCTGGCTCCAGGGTCTGAAATGGGAACATTTGCAGACGACACCACGCTGTATGCCTGCGTCAATACACGCGATGATGCCATACACCAAGCTGACAGTCTTCAAGCTTCCGTTAATGCGTTACATGCATGGGGAACAAAGTGGCATGTTAAGTTTGAACCATCCAAGTCGCAGCTCCTACGAATCTCCTGCCATCGACAGCAGCCTTGGCCTGTCCCCGGAATAAACTTTGGAGGGGAGGTCATCCCACAACAGCCACACCTCAAGCTCCTCGGAGTTATGGTTGACTCCAAGCTATCCTTTTCCGCCCATCTCCGGTCAGTTGCTGCCAGGGCAAACTCACGTCTTGGCCTCCTACGTAGAGCTGCTCGTGTTCTGGACTGCCGTGGCATGCTGGCCGTGTATCACGGCTTCGTCCGGCCCCTGCTCTAGTACGCTCCCCTTGTCTGGATGGGAGCTGCTCCCACTAACCTTGAACACCTTAACAGAGTGCAGAGGCGTGCCCTCCACATCCTCGGACCCAACATCTTGCTACAGAGCCTAGAGGCCCGACGGACAGTGGCAGCACTGACTTTCGTCTACAAGCTACTGGGCCAACCAGGTCCTCCTCTGCTGAGATCCATGGTCCCCCCTCTCGTCGTCCACCACGCCGCACCTGTAACCCGGAGACAATGCCAACAGTCTGCTTCACACCCCTTCCAACTGGAAAATGTTCTCCCTCCAGGCGCTCCTAACTACCTAAGACGCTCCTTTCCATACAACATCATTAACACCTGGAACGCGCTGCCATCCTCCCTCTTCACCAAACCACCATCTCCTAAGGGCCTACAATCCTTCAAAGCGAACGTCCACTACCATCTTCGCCGAAGCCAGTGGCTTTGGGCCACAGACTCCCTCTAACAGTTCCGAACTATTTCCATCCTGAAGCTCCCCCCCCCCCCAAGCATTGCATGATGTTCACTGCATCTGAACTGCCTTTTAATTTATTTTTCTCTCTTCTTGTTCTCTCTGCACCCCCATCCCCCCTCTCTCTCTCTCTCAATCACTCACTCTCTTTCTCTCTCTCTCTTTCTCTCTCTCCTCATCCATTCTTCCTCACCTTCTCTTGTCTTTATCGCACTAAATCACCCCCTACTTTTAGGCTATGGTTCGCAAGCTCGCGTTAACGCCGAGACCATAGGTCGGTGTTGTGGGCTTGCCTCACCAGCACAGGCTTGCTTTGCAGCCCCTACTCTCCCTGCTGTTTTGTCATTGTATACTCTGTTGTCTTCTCCCCTTCTGACGAGTAGGTTGTGTAATTAGTAAAAAAAAAAAAAAAACTCAGCTCACCCATGTCGCTTGCGGCTCACAGGAGGTGCTGTGGGCGTCAGTGTCCACGAACGACGGGCCCCGCACTGTCCTTGGTGATATCTACCGACCAGGATCATGTGCCGAGACTGACACTTCTCTCATGGAGTACCTGGACAGTGTTCTCGACAATGTCCGGCACCTGGGGTCAAACCTAATTCTGGCGGGAGATTTCAATGTGCATAACGCTGGATAACTGCAGAGCACTAAGACAACTCCTGCTGGAGAGTCACTTGAGGTGCTATGCGCAACCCACCAACTCGCCAAGCATGTGCCACATGCCACTAGGGGATCAAACACATTGGACCTAATCCTATCTGATTTTTCCACCGCAGTGTCCACTTCAATCCATGCTCCCCGCGGTCGGTCCGATCACGCTGTAGTGGTCTCTAACTTCCAAGCAGTA